AGTCAATGTGATAAATTGGCGTGAGGAAGAAAACACAGTGGTGAGGGCAAATCTTTTTTATCACTAACGCTAAATCATAAATTGTGCTAATCGAATAATGGATCGGCGGTTTATCCTTACCATTACGAAGTGCAAAATAAACTTGACCAAGATACATATCGGCTGGAACGATATACTTGTTCACAAAAAATAGCAATACGTATTAGCTATTCTCATGGAATGTTCCTAAAGAGACCTAGCCTCCTATGAATACTCCATTGTGGGCCAACCTGAGAACTCTTACTAAGGAAATTCGTGAATCGGAACCCAAAATGTAATGAAGCCATTTTTACAGTTTCGCAGAAAATGGATGATATTGGATTAATCAACGATCACACATTTGTTTAAATAAAATTATTTCCGATCGCAGAGCAGGCTCAAAGGAGCAAGTCTAATACATGTACACGTACGTAACGATAACGATAAGCCAAGTATTGATACAAAAGTCTAGTTTAGACTTGTCATCATCTATTAATTAAACTTACCAAACCTACTGCGTATAATGAAATAACAAAATGTTGTAGCATGTAACATTGCACGAGACTTGTCTAAGTGACAATGGTTAATTTGTATTAGTGATTGGACCCGTTCAAAAAAATTGCGACCCGGGTCACCCGGGTAAGAATATTACCCGTTAAATTATGTGCGGTTGGATTCATATAATATTTGTTTCGTAAATAATAACGATATATACTAATACTATAACAATTTGATCTACGTAGAATTTCGCACAGTCACTAGTTAATAATTATCTTCGATCCTAATGCGCGTCACCATTACGTACTAATAATTATTTCATCCATGATTTTTGCCATAATCGTGACCGTATAACACATATTTCATTTGGTCGATTCCATATGACATAGTGAATGAATCAATGGTGAACTAATCAACGGGTTAACCGACGGGTTTGACCCGTGGGTTACCCACCCACATTCATCCGGGTGGTTATGGTCACAACCTGGATATCCGACCTATCCGGGTCGACCCGGTTGTACCCGACCCGGTTTCAATCACTAATTTGTATAAATGAAATTTGAATCTGCATACGTACATATCAATTTTATCATACAATCATACACAAAATAATAAGAAAGATGTTTAGTTTTGGTAATAATACTTTCAGTTACAGCGTACTTTGTACCTCATGTTTTCAAGTATTCTTATTATTTGTGTAGACAGAAAATCACAAAATTTTCATAATCATAGTTTTTGTTTTTATTATGCAAGCTTTTCAAATTTTGGAAGGGATCAGATGAATGAAAATTCAAGTTTATGTTATCAAATATATACAGAGAAATATCCTAAGTGTATTTCACTGTACGTATTAAGATTACAAAAAGTATTGGAATCATACGTGTAACAATTCAAGACATACACACCCCTACAGTATATTACCGGAAATTTCAAAAATGAATTTGTCACTTTGGAACACGATATCTCAGCATCCAGTGATCTCATTCGAACAAAAATATCACATTTAGATTCGTATAGTCGAGACAAATCTAAAGGTGATATTTTTGTTCGAATGGGATCACTGGATTCCGAGATATCGTGTTCCAAAGTGACAAATTCATTTTTGAAATTTCCGGTAATATACTGTAGGGGTGTGTATACATGTACCTAGTGATATATATAAAATTATTATATGAAACTAATTTATTAACGTTAGTTTTATTAAAAATGGAATATAGATGACCAAACGTTTTAATAGTGAAGACCAACAAATTTAAAAGTATTCTCCACAGAATGATGGATGTCCAATACGTACATGGTTAAACTATTTAAATTAAGAATTATTATTTTCTATTTGTCTAGCTTTCAAGTTTGAAATAATATTAACAATACAATACAGTCAAACACCCTAGTCAAATTGGATGACTACGTATAGAGGAAAATGATATTTCTATTATGTATACGTAGTTATTTATAGCATATTTACGACTACGTACGTAATAATAAACAGGTGTGAATATAAATGGGTTTATAAATAGTAAAATATGTACGTAACAGAAATCATGATTATTAAAATAATCAGGGACATAGTGAAAAAGGATTAAACTCGATTTTTTACATGTTCGTATACGTACATGTACATGCATGTACAAATAAGATAAGAAAAAATCATAGCGACAAAAGTTTGTTTTTTTTTAGTAGTTGATTCACTATAGTGCTTGTTTTTAATATTACGTATTTATCAGTTCAGTAAATATTAACTTTAACTATTTTTATTACTGTTGCAAAATAATCATAATACTTATAGTAGTAGCATTGATGTGAATATAAATAGCAACAATATTAAATAAATTTATAAAAAGACTGAGTGAAAAAATATTGTACTGTATCAATAATGTATTATTATAGATTTCGGCCACAACGCACTCTGGTAATTGTTTTGAATTATCTGCTGTACTTTTAGGAAGATACTGTATAATATATTTAATTGACACATTTGTGTAGGCTCAAGAGCCTACCCTTTTTCACAGTTTAAGAGTGATTGTAGCTTTTTTTATAGTTTTGCAATGGGTCACTTATGTCGGTTTTTTGTTGACGCAAATTTTTACTGATAAGCCAGTGATTGAAATACGCTATCCGTTTGAAGAAAAAATAGAAGCACCAGGTATACAGTAAATAGGCTTAAACATCTTCGATTTCTATAATTAATTTTCACTTAGTGAGGTATTTTTGACACATTGCACAGATATCGAGCTTTGTGGAAGCAATTCTGAACTAAAATTTTATTCATGTGTATTGACGTATTATAACAACAGTAAAAGTGTACATGAAGGTTGCTTTCGAAATGATGGCACCAACTACATTGTTCGCGGTGAACGGCCACAAGGCACAACAGCGTATTGCCATCTTTTCAGTGGAAAACATAACGTTTGGTTTGGTAATACGACAAACTCAGTTCGCAAGATTGGAATATATTATAAAATTTTAAATATAAGTGCTACGGAAGGAAGTTCAATGAATATCGCAAATATTGGTAAAGACTTACTATTTAATGTATTTTTTACGTATGATGTTCTATTGATTTTCTTTTTCTTTTTTAAAGCTATACAATTAATCGATCCGAATCGCAATTTAATTTGGGATAAAAGTGTTAAAATACGCAATCAAATTGTAAGTTGTATTAACGTGTTTTCCATTTTGATGAAAGATATCTTGCGCATCAATAATAAATTATACTTTACAAAACAGGATGAAGTAGTTTACAAAGATATGAAATGGCAAGGAAATAACTTTGCTGGACTTGCAAATTATTCAACAGTGGTGAATTTTAAAAAACAAACGTATCTATCGATTTCACCCAGTGACGTTAAGAGTTACTTCGGCTTACGAGGAGTTTATGATGAAACAGTAACAATACCTTCTATTGTAAAATATTATCCACTTAACAATAATCCCGAATTCAAAAATCAAAACTATTCTGGATACATTGCCATCAATATTGAGACTTTTTTTCATGAAATCCACACGGAAAAAAGGTTTGTATATTTGTTCTCTATTGTCCAATAGATTTAGAACTTAATAAATCGTTCATTTTTAGAGTGCGTACCGTGCTTAACTCTTTCGGTGTAATAGGGGGTGCTTTTGGTGAGATGATTATATAAATATTTAGACAATCGGTTTCAATACCTAACGCTAACCTTTGATTTTTATCACATAAAATGTAACTAGGTGTTGCTGTTGGACTTTATTACTTTCTTTTTGGCGATAGAAAAATTCATCCATGGGGAATAATGCATTGTCTAGTAAAGTCAGGATTAAAGGAATTTGCCAATTACAGAAATTTTCCAATGGTTTCTCCCATTGAAATGGAGAACACACCTTTCTTGTCATCAAAGTACGATAGCGATAGGCAATTTATACACCTTGAAACTCGTATAAAATATTTGGAAGGATTGATGGGTGACTATCTCATCGACATTCAACCAATAAAAAATAACATTTGATTATCGATGCCGATCTTAAACATTTCTTAAGACGTTGTTTTGCATGAATTAGCGAACATACAGTGGCCGTCATATGTTTTGCATCACGTAAATAATGGTGATTTTACACGTTATTTGCATGTGCAAATAAATATATCCAAAAAGGGACATTCAATTACTATTTTGGCATATAATTTACAAAAATGTAATATTTCAGCGATGCGTTTTTTTTTTTGAATGTTTGTTCGTTCAAAAGTAAAGAATAGTTTATTTAAGTTTCATAAATTTTTAGTCATTAGTTATTTAAATATCAGTTGCATTGTAAACAGTCAAAAAAAACACATCATGTAAATTGCATCAATTATTGTTATTTCAATTTAGTGATTTAGCGTTAGTGATAAAAAAGATTTGCCCTCACCACTGTGTTTTCTTCCTCACGCCAATTTATCACATTGACT